AGGCGTACGCCTCATGATGCCTGAGAATTGCGTAGGCTTTGAGGCTATTTTGAAGCAAATTACGCAAAGGCGTGCCTCATATTGCGTAATTTTAAACTATGAGGAGAATAAGTGAAAGCTAGGATTTTGATTCTTTTGCTTGACTTGGAATTATTTGTCGAGTTTGGTTCAACAAATAAATAGTCTGGGTTGAACTACTTGTTGATTTTATTCAACAAATAGATGATTTTTTACATGTTTCTAATTCACTCAACATGGATTGAATGAATGAGAACTTCATACAACTTTTGAGTTGTAGAAAGGAAGGAAAATTCTCTACGATTTTGGTTTGTAGAGAAGCAAAGGGAGATGCAATTTAGAGATTGCAAACTTATGGTTGTCCTTGAACATTTGGTGTTCAAAGGGGGATTCATCCTCCTAATTCGGGTTTGAGAGCATGAAGACGATTTTGGATGCTCTCCTACAATCTTGACTTGTAGGAAAGAAAGAAGGAAATGCGACTTAGAGGTTGCAAATCAATGAAAGTTTTTTGAACATTTGTTGTCCAAAGAGGGGAATGCATTCTCCTAGTTAAGGTTTAGGAGAATGATGAGATTTCCTACAACTTTTGAGTTGTAGAAAAGAGGGAAGGAACATGCAACTTATGAGTTGCAAATCCATAAATGTTCTTTGAACATTTGTTGTCCAAAGAGACAAATTCATTTGTCTAATTTGAAGCTAGGCGAATGTAGGGGAATTTGGAGGTTTCCTACAATTTAGACTTGTAGGAAAAGAAGTAGCCCAAAGTGCAATTTAGGGGTTGCAAATTGAAGGAGTTTTTTTGAACGCTTGGTTCCAAAGAAGGGGGATTCATTCCTTCAATTTGGATTGGAGGGATGCAGGAGAAGGGATGAAACTTGGAAGCTGCAATCTCATGAACATTCTTTGAACATTTGGTGATAAAAAAATACATGTACATTCTCATAATTTGGACGAAGAGAATGAAAATATCTTCCTACAACCTTTGAGTTGTAGAAAAGGAAAAAATGAAATGCAACTTAGAATTGCAAGTTGGTGATTACTCCTTGAACATTTTGATGTTCAACGAGAGAAGACCGCTTACTTGATTTGGGCTAAGTAAATGATGAAGTTTCTTTAAGCATTTGGTACTCAAAGGAAGATGAACATTTGCTCAATTTTAGGCTAAGCAAATGAGGAAGACTAGTATTTGAGTCCTATATCTAGAAGATTACTCATTGGTTTGTGTTCCAACGACTAAATGATTTGATAAATTTCTTACAACTTTGGGGTTGAAGGAAGAAGATGTAACTTGAGAGTTACAAAATTTCAAGGATGTTCTTTGAATATTTGGTATTCAAAGAGATAGGATCATTCACCTAGTTGAAATCAAGTAAATGGAGATAGATACTCATTTGTTGATTTTATGACACAACAAATGAAGGAGGTAGCTAAGAATTTAATCCCAAGCTTCAAATAATTCATGTAATGATATATTTGGAGACTTGAAATGTCCCAAATAATCATGTATGAAAGAGGGAGATTGTTTATTTTGTCTCAACACACATGGTGGAATGCACCTATAATTTTGATCCTAAGGTTATGAGATTCATGCAATCCAACATTTAGAGCTTTGGGAACACCCCATGCATTGTACATGGGAAAGGATGGTTCATTTGTTAATTTCATATCTTAACAAAGAAAAGGGTTGGACTTAGGATTTGGTCCTAGGATCCTGAAGATTCATATGATAGAATAAATTAGAGCTTTGAGGGTGCTCCAACATATCACACATGAAGGGGGTATTTGTTGATTTATGTTCCAACAAGAGAGATGAAAAAACTTGGAAGTTGGTTCCATGTTGCCAATGATTCATGCAATTTAAAACTTGGAGCTTTGAGAATGCTCCAAGCATTATGCACGAAAGAAGATTCCCCATTCCTCCATGAATGTTTTGGATTCATGGAAAGAGGAGATGCACATTTGAAAGGAATTTCCCTATGTCCTTTAGAGTTTTGGACTCAATTAGGAGATGGAAGAATTGATTTCCTAAGATTTTAGGAGACATTTCTAAACCAATTTTGACATGATTTAGAAACTCGGATAGGAGAGATCGATCCCTATGACTTCTAGGAGATTTAAGATCAATTTGGGGCATGATCTAAGAAGAACCTAGAATGCATGCATGTGTAGATGATTATCCAAATTAGGGAATTTTGATCATTGAAAGCAATCAAGTATTTATTTTGTAAAATGTCGCACATAAACTTAACCAACAATATATTTTGTGGGATCTACAACATAGACTTTGGAAAGTCTATGGGTGACCTCACAATGATTTGATATTTTCATTAGTTGATTAAATTCATATTCAAGCACTCACAAAAAACTCTCTAGAGTTCATAAACTTCAACATATGCACACTTCTTTCAACTCGTATGTCATTTTTGCCATGACTTGTACTTGAAAGAAGGGTGCATGCAATTTTAATGAGTTTCAAGCTTATGAACATTCCCATATACTTAGTTTTCTTCAACAAACAATCAATTCAAAATTGTTACTCTACATTCTAAGTTTCATGTGATGCAAATCATAAATTTAATTAATCATTAATGTTATGAGGTTTGCTACATAGACCCTTGAAAGTCTATGTCTCACAATGACTAGAAATGCCCAAATCGATTAAATTCAATATATGCATTAAACAAAAACTCTAGAGGTAATTAATATTTTGCATGCAAAAGTTCTCCTAGATTTGGGTGTCTATTTTGTCATGACAATGCATCTAAATGAGAAGTGCATGCAACTAGTGACAATTCAAACCTATGCATTATCATTGACTTTGAGGTCAAATAATAGCATATACCCTAGGGCATGATTGTAGACGACGGGTGTCAAGCTCGATATGATGCACAAACATACATTTGAGAGGTGTTGGATAACAATCTGACACCTCTACATGTATCGAAATCCTCTCCGGGCCCTCACATGAGAGTCAACAAATGGAAATCACCAAATTTGCATAGTTTCGCGAAGTGGACAGCCAACAAAGGGATTTCGGGAGACCAAAAAAATTAGAGTTTCTAGGGACCTAAGGCTTTGGATCGTCAATCACATGCCATTGGCTAGGGAGCCTTAAGTTTTTGCCTAAATTTTAGTGTTATACCTCTCCCGATTTGTCCTAGCGCTCCTATCCGAGCTCCAAGCGCTGTCCAATCTCCTTTGAAGGCTCCAAGTCGCTGTCCAAGACTTTCCCAAGGAAGAAGACCGCCGTCCAAGCCTTTCCGGACGTCACCACCGCTGTCCAAACGTTCCAAACAGAGAATTTCACTGTTTGAGAGCTTCCGGAGGTCGTCGTTTGCTGTCCAAATATTCCAAACAGCAATTTGCACTGTTTTGAGGTTGCCGAAGATGGTTTGGAGAGAAGTAGAGGCTTCCTACCTTCTCTTAGCTGCAGCAAAGGCTGATTTCAACATGCCTTTGCCCTAGGTTTTGGAAGAAAAGTTCACCAGCAGCAGCAAGAATGGATTTTTTGCTCTCTAATTGAAGGAAGAAAGCAATGGCAGCGAAGAAGAACTCCTTTTCAGTCCAAAGATGAAGAAGACAGCAGCTAGGTAGCATGAAATCTCCTCCTCTTTCAACTTCAGCTCCCAAGAAAATGTATGGAAAGGGGGAGAAGGCTTGGCCGGCCCTCCCTCTTGGCTAAGTCGCATGCAAGAGGCCACCGTCGGCCTCTTCTCTTCACTTGAACAGGCTACACACAAGGGGAACACAGGGAGGCCTCCATCTCCCCCTCTCCTCTGGTCGGGACGCACACAAGCAAGAGCCGAACGGCTCTTGCCCTCTTCCTCTTCTCGTTCGGGACGGACGAACAAGCAGAGGGCCTCTCATCTCTCTCTGTCTCCCTCTATCTGGGACGGGCGAACCAAAAAACTGGAAGAGCCGGCTCTGCCACCCCTTTCATTCCATCTTGGAGATCGCAAGGCTAGGTGGCCTCACCGCCCAAAGGAGCCAATCCGAGCCCTCACGCGTGAAACAAGGGTTTTATCATGAATGGGATTCCAGATGAAATCTGAGCCCTTGATTTCAATTTCATATTTAGGCTTTCAATTTAGCCCAAATCAGTCAATTAGGGCTGAAATTGAGACCAAATTGGATTCGACTCAAACCGATTTGGGTCGGTTTGGGTTCAAGTGGGTCCGATCAAGTTAATTTCATGAAATTGAACTCGAATCGACGCCGAATTGCATCGAATTGGGCTCGACGACGCTCGACGGGGTTTGATTGGTTTTGATTTGATTTTAATTAAATTAAATTTGGTTTAATTAAATTAAATTGGGTCAATTTCACCTCGACGACATTCGATCGAGTCGAACAAGCGCGATCGAGCCTAATCGGGCTCAGTCCGGGTCGGGTCGATACGAAAATATTCGTCAACAGATGTATCAAAAAGGCAAGTCTAATGATTGTTGTGGATCGATTCCTAAGGTTAATATGGCCACAAATCGTCAAAATGAGTAATAAGCAATAGAATTAATATTTCATGCAGCACTCTTGGAATGAATGAAGGACTTGACAACTTACCCAAAACAAATGTAATAAGGTGAATGTTGAAGCATAAGATTTGATGTATTTAAATATTAATTAATATATCTTCAAAACAAACCTTCAACAAAAAGAAATAATACACTAACAGAACTTGCCGTATATAAGTTATCTACATGGGGGCAAGGAGCATAGACACATCCTGCATATAATTAAAGCATTCTTTCAATCAAAACCAATGACACCAAGGAGCCTTTTATGTATTATATACTTCAGCAACTAGATTACATAGAAATTTTTATTCCCACAAAGGAAAAAAAATATCACACATTGGAGCATCATATACTTGCAACCTATAGTATATCTGTCCATACTAAATGCAATAACAAACTTCGGATGCAAGCTTTAAAAGAAAATCAAGTCTGCGTAGAAAGGTATATTAGAAAAATAAACCATACCCATTTGCTTGTCAATGAACTAGCTGATATGTAAAAAAAGGTTGCTTTGGCTTCTCCAGCAATAGCTTTACCTATCATTGTTTTACCTGTTCCCTAAGATAATGCAAGAATCAAAGGAACATCTTAACTAATAATGCTATGAAAAACTTTATTTCTCATAAAAATTACTTACTGGGGGCCCAAATAAAAGTAGACCTCTTCCGGGAGAGCGACAACCTCGAAATATGTCAGGCCGCAAAAGAGGCCAAATAACCATCTCCGTAACACATTTCTTCGCATGTTCCAAACCAGCTGTAATGAGTCAGGTTAAGAATCCGCAAGCATAATTTACTAACCATGGAAAAGCTGAAACCAATAAAAAGAGGGTTGCTCTAGGAATATCTTAAAAATACCTATGTCATTCCATCGAACATTAGGGTCCTTGTCCATTATCTCATTACTAACATGTTCAATAAGACGTGGTTCTATATTTCTCAACTTCTCAGGAAGCTCCCCATCAGGACCACACAATATTTCCAAACTGACATCAAAAGCTTAAAAGTTGGATATTATCATATCGTATTGAAAGAGATCTTTGACTGAAGAGTTCATGATAATTAGAACTCAGAATCCTTAAGAATTGCTATAAATTTAGAAAAAAAAAACAAATAGATGAATCAAAGCATAATATTTATTTACGATTTGTAGTTACCTATTACAGCGTGACAGATTTGATGTCTCACAAGTGAATTTTCAGATAAGAGTTGTATAAGTTTAAGGAATGGGAAAGTGAATGTTTACCCCGAGCATCAAAACGAGAAGGAACCTGAAGTTCCAAAGAAATACCAATGAAAGAATTGAAGAACAAATTACTCAATAAACAATAATATAACATAAAATTGAAAGAAACCCAAGAATCATCCTTAACACTATAGCTTTTCTACTTATTTCAGTTTTTACCCTTTTGGACAGATCATTTTTAGATATTTATATGCTCCATAAAGCTCATGAGCGAGTGCCAGAAAACTACTGATTTTTCAGCAGACAGACAGTATGTTGGATAACGCACGTCCAGCGAATTTGTCCTCATTGAGGCCATATATATTTATTCTTCAAGGCTTCCTACAGTAAAAGCCACGGGATTAGCATCCTCTCGGGATCACTGGAGAAAACCATCAATTAAAGATGTCGTGAGTCTCCATTTTAATATTTTGGCGCCATGATGGCTTCTTGTCATTTAATGACGATGCATTGTGCATAGAGGGGATGGAAGGCAGATGAAGAGATGATACTAAGCTCTGTAAAGATCCAATGAGTCAACCCTTTAGGTTTTGTCCCAGTCTAAATATTCAAAATGTGTGAGGCGAACATTAGGCTTTATGCCTCAAGTCAGGTCTTTGGTTGAACTAAGGGCTTGACTAGTAGCCATAGTATTCCCACGTCCAAGTTTATCCCGATAAATTAACAGTGTAAAACATGCCAGGGAGAGTGATTTCATGGAAACATCAACAAACACATGGCATGTTCAATAACAAATGGATCACGTGGCTCAGAGGCTTAAAAGAATAGCCATTGGCGAGTTTGTGGGTTTTATATCATGATTGATGTGTGCCACCAATCAGGCATAACCGCTCAGTCCAAAGGAATTTAACCCATCCTTAACATCTAAAAAGCTAAAATCATAACCAACTTAGTTACAAAGATATGACATGCATTCTTTTATGAACGTTGATCTATTTATAACTTCAGCACCCTTGTCATATTTTTATTGCAATGAGCGGATTGCGTCAATTAAAAATATTTAGCAATCACTGCTATTTTGTTGGTACTTCAATTTTTTCAATTAATTTGTAGCTTTTATGGTAATTTTTTGTTTACCAGATGAAGGCTCATCCTCTTTGTCATCAGGAGAGGAATTTATGTGGCCCTTTATTGGGTGTCAAGTCTAGGAAGCCAACACTATATTCATTTTTGGCCATCTTTAGGTGCACTGATTCCAAAACATGCTTGGCAGAGCAGATAAGGGAAGAACTTTCAGGAGCATTTGCAAGTTAGAATAGTCTCGAAAATAGTTTACCACATTGTCTAGCAGGGGTTCAATAGAATTCTTCTTAAAGTAGGTGGTGAAGTATTAGATCCTTCATACTCTAATCAAGGCAGGTACAAAGCCGAAAACACTGATTATTGTTGAACTTGTTTGGAAGCAGACTAGGTAAATTCAAAGCTTTATTGAGGAATAATCATAGCCGCTCTTCTAATGTGGCATGCTAATGTGGGATGACATATGGCACCGTGGGCACCAATAGTTGGCATGGCATAGTCCTAGGTCCCAACATGCCAATAATGTGTCCTAATAAGAAATTTAATGGCGTATACTATGTTTAACTAGTAAAATAGTTTTAATGCTCACATGTTGCTCCATAGTGGGTCTACGTGTCTTCTAATGCAACAGAAATTATATTAATTATTGACTAGATGCTCCCAACACAAAATAACGTCATCAAAAGTAATGATACTAGGTTCTTATGTAATAATGCAAATAAAGGAGGGCTTTCTATCTTCAAAACAAATATTAGTATAATTTTACTTTGTTTGTGGATGTGTAATTACACGACCAGACTATGAATGTGACAGATTTTTTATTGTTCAGAATTGTTTGTTAACAGGAAACCTACTCCTTTAGAGGTAGTTTTGTAGGTTGAAAAAGAAATGAAATGTAAAAGGAATGCATTGTAAAAGGATTATAATGTAAAAGGAATACTTTAGAGTTGTTTGGATAAATATAAAATAAATGCATGATATTACTTTTTTTGTTAATTTGGTTTGAAGTAAAATGAGTGCATTGTAAAATCCAAAGAGGTTGGTGGTCAACGACGGTGGGTGGCGGTGGTTGTAGGGGGTGACGGCGATCGGCAATAGTTTCCCATGGCTGCAGTGTTGGTCGGCACTAGCCAGAGGCAGGCAACAGCGGATTGCGAATGTGGTGGCCGATGGCAGCAGCGACAGTCGGCAGCGATTATGTATTAAACTTTTACACTGCATTTGTTTTACTTCAAATCAAGCACCAATTTTCTTAAACTCCCAGCATTGGAATACTTTACAGCCCTTTTATTTCAAACCAAACAACCCCTTAGTCCCTTTTAGAGTTAAAATGAGTTGAGGAAGAGTTGTACACAACCCTATCTAAAATAATGAGTAGTTCTTTATCGAAGTCCAATTTAGTGTGTTCGTGTGTGTGTGTGTGTTTGTGTATATATATATTGGATCTTGTGCATTTCATTGAAAAATTATACGTCCGGAAATAGTCAAAAAAACATGGGAACACTTCCATGTGAATCCTATTAAGGGGCATCCAAGAATGCATATTGGCCCCTCCTAATGACGCATATTTTCGTATCGACCCGACCCCGATCGAGCCCAACTAGGCTCGATCGCGCTCGATCAACCCAATCAATCGTTGTCGAGGCAAAATCGACTCAAATTAAACCGAAATTTAATTAAATTAAATTCATTTTAATTTAATTAAAATCGAATCAAATGAAATCAAACCACGTCGAGCGTCGTCGAGTCCAATTCGACGCGATCCGGCGCCAATTCGAGTTCAGTTTCACAAAATTAACTTGATCGGACACAATATGACCCAAACCGACTCAAACCAGTGTGAGTCGAGTACGATGTGTGCTCAATTTCAGCCTTAATTTATCAATTGGGTCTAAATTGAATTCCCAAAATCAGATTTCTTGATCTAGGGCTGAGATTTCATCTCAAATCCCACAAAACTTTATGTCAAATCCCTCGTTTCACACGTGAGAAGCCCGATTGGGTCCTTTGGGCGGCGGGACCTGCTGTCCTCGTGCTCTCCAAGAGCACGCAAGGGAGAGGGAGAGTCATTCGGCTCTCCCATTTGGTTCGGCACTTCCCAGACATAGCGGAGAGGAGAGGGGAAGCCTTCGGCTCCCTTGCTTGCGTGCGTCCCGACCAGAGAAAGAGGGGGAGACGGAGGCCTCCCTGTGTTCCCCTTGCGTGCAGCCCGTCCAAGTTAGGAGAAGAGGCCGACTAGGGGTCTCCTTGCATGTGACCTAGCCAGGAGGGGAAGCCGAGGCAAGGGACTTGAGATGATTTGAGAGTTCGTTGCTGTCTTTCTCCTCGCTCTCTCAAAAATCTGTAGCAAAGAACTGTTGTAACTCTTTTCTTTTGCTCTTAGGAAGTGGTAGGAAGCATCCCCTTCCTTCCAAGTCAACTCCGGCGACCACTTGACAACGAAATTAGCCTCCAGAGGCTTTCAAACGGCATAACCTACTGTTTAGAACGTTTGGGTAGCAAGCAATCAGTTCCGGGAGCCTTCCAAATATTGAAAGCTACTGCTTGGAGCGTTCTTGGACAGCAAACTGCTGTCCGGAGCAGTTTGGACAGAAAATCCAAACTTCGGAAAGGCTTGGACAGCAGCGGTAACATCCGAAAAGGCTTGGACAGCGGTCTTCTTCCATGGGAGCAGCTTGGACAGCAACTTGAAGCCTTCAAAGCAGCTTGGACAGCTGCTTGTAGCCTTCAAAGGAGCTTGGATAGCATTTGGAGCTTGGATTGGACGCTAGGACAACTCGGCCACCGGGGTGAGGTAAAATTCTAAAACTTAGTGAAACCTAGGGGCCCCCAAGGCCATTGATGTGTAGTTGACATCCCCAAGCCATAGGTCTCTTAGAAACCTCATTTGTTTGCTTCCCCAAAACCTATTTGCGCTGTCCTCTCCGCAAAACAGTAAAAAACTAGTATTTTTTTACTTGTTTGCTCTCTTGTGAGAGTCAAAGAGGCATGCCAACGCATGTAGGGGTGTTGGATTGATATCCAACACCTCTCAAATGCATGTAATAGCAATCATATTGTATCAAACTGTCGCCTATAACAAACCTAGGCTTCATCGTCATAGCACCCAATTTTGGAGGCTATGATTTGGCCAAATGAATTGCATGTTGTTTAGAATTTAGATTATGCCAAAATTGATCTAAATAAAATAGTGTAGATCACTTTCTCTAAGGATTGCATACTTCTAAATTTATTGGGAGATTGCTAATCATGTTCATTTAATTTGTAGGGCAAACTTGGGATAGATGTGGGTTTACAAAGACCCATAAGCCACCCCTTGTGTGCTCTTGAATTACTTAAATATGCATTGTATCTCTTAATTCTCATGGATAAGGATGATAACGAATGTTCCTCTAGCATGCAAACTATCCAATTTTTGTGTCATGACAAAATTGATATAAACTTTGGAAAGTTTGCATGTAGGAATTGATAGTCTCTAAAAGTTAGTGAATGTGAATGTGTTTGGTTGGAAACAATATCACTAGCAACCGATCTTTGTGGGGTTTCTCATAGATCCTCAAAGGTCTATGTTGTAGACCCCATAATGTCTATGGCCAACCAAATTCATGATTGATCTTTTCACTAAATTTAGAGCATACAAGTGATAATCATTGTTGGTTTACATCCATCACATTTGGTATTTGAAAATTAACCAAATGGGCTTATCTAAACCTTGAAGTG